GTGTAAAACAACAGAAAGTGAGTTAAATTTGAGTCCAAAGTCCAACAGGTCACTGGATGCCATCAGCTCAGTGTGTACAGGCTAAAACAGCCTGCTTCTACCTTTTAGAGACTTTCATGTAGAAATCTCTGAGTTGAGCTCCAAATGGCTTCAAACTTACCCAGAAGACTCACAGAGACAACACCATCAAGAATCTTGAATCTCAACCTTCTGCCGCCTTTCCCAAGCTAGTTTCTTTCAGGGGCCACATAGGGGCCCCAAATCACAACAGCTCAAATCAGCGTCCCACACCCATCATACAGTTGTATTTTGGTATTAAAACTCCATTTAGAACTTATTAGGTGGCTGTTAGCTCATAAAATCCACAAAAGGAGCTTTACACACTCGCTTGGCTTAAGAAGCAAAAGAGTACTGCTCAGAGAAATATGGCTGTATGAAATTGGTATTGTTTGCTGTAAAGGTGAGATCTGGTGAAACACTCTGTCCTGTGACTGATCTGTGTAAAACAACAGAAAGTGAGTTAAATTTGACTCCAAAGTCCAACAGGTCACTGGAAGCCATCAACTCAGTGTGTACAGACTAAAACAGCCTGCTTCTACCTTTTAGAGGCTTTCATGTAGAAATCTCTACATGAGTCCTGTTCAGTAAAATATGGGTGTATTATTTTGATATTTCTTGTTGTAAAGAAGAGATCAAGTGAAACACTCTGCTCTGTGACTGATCTGTGTAAAACAACAGAAAGTGAGTTAAATTTTACTCCAAAGTACAACAGGTCACTGGAAGCCATCAACTCAGTGTGTACAGGCTAAAACAGCCTGCTTCTACCTTTTAGAGGCCTTCATGTAGAAATCTCTGAGTTGAGCTCCAAATGGCTTCAAACTTACCAAGAAGACTCACAGAGACAACACCATGAAGAATCTTGAATCTCAACCTTCTTTCCCAAGCTAGTTTCTTTCAGGGGCCACATAGGGGCCCCAAATCACAACAGCTCAAATCAGCGTCCCACACCCATCATACAGTTGTATTTTGGTATTAAAACTCCATTTAGAACGTCTCGGGTTACGTATGTAACCCTGGTTCCCCGAGAAGGGGAACGAGACACTGCGTCGGTTACGACACTATGGGAACGCCTCTAGGCGAAGCAGGTCTGAACGTGAATGAAATCACTCCAATCCTATTGGCTTGTTGCTAGAACGGTAAGGTGTGACGGAATAACCGGAGGAGTATAAAGCACACCTGTACACACTCATCATTAGCTTAAACTATGAAGCAGGCACTTCAGGCGGGGAGAGAGGTGTGGCGGGCCGACGCAGTCTCTCGTTCCCCTTCTCGGGGAACCAGGGTTACATACGTAACCCGAGACGTTCCCCTTCGAGGGAACTCGAACTGCGTCGGTTACGACCACTAACCCGTGCCGAAACCCCGCCTGCCCCAGTGCGCAGTAAAGTGGCACGACTAAGAGGAGAGCACACGAGTGCCAGGTGCCGAAGGAAGGTCAAAACTGTAAAACCGAATGAATGTGTGCGGAGTGGCCCAGCCAGCCGCTAAACAAACATCCTGCAAATAGGCCCCGGATAGGAGGGCTCGAGAGGCCGCCATGCCTCTGGTAGAATGAGCCCTCACAGCCACAGGTGAAGGCAAACCGCGCACCTGATAGGCCAGGGAAATAGTCTGAACAATCCAGTTGCTAATAGTATGTTTGGATGCAGGGAGCCCGGCCCTGGGAGACCCAAAACACACTAGCAGCTGGTCAGCCTTCCTCCAACGGGAGGATCTCAGAGTGTAAATACTCAGTGCTCTGACAGGGCAGAGCAGATGAAGTCTCCCGTCCTCCGCCGTCACATGAGGTGGAGGATGAAATGCTTGCAGCACTGTGGACCCTGCCGCACAAGAAGGCACTTTGAGGATGTATCCCGAACGAGGGTGCAGGATAACCCTAATATTCCCCGGGGCAAACTCCAGGCTTTGCGGGGAAACCGAAAGCGCTTGGAGATCCCCCACCCTCCTCAGAGAGGTGATAGCAAGGAGAAAGGCCATCTTGAGGGTCAAGTGCTTAGCCTCAGCTGACTCCAGGGGTTCGAAGGGGGCCTCAGCAAACGCCCCAAGAACCACTGCCAGATCCCAAGTGGGAACCTTGGACCGAGTCGCAGGTCTCATCCTCCGGGCACCACGGAGGAAACGTACAACCAAGGGAAGTTTCCCCAAGGACCCCTCCCTCAGAGGGGTGTGGAAAGACGAAATAGCTGCCACGTACACCTTGAGGGTGGAAGGGGAAAGACCAGCAGAGAACCGGTCCTGGAGGAACTCAAGTACCTGAACCACCGGGCAGGTAACGGGGTCCACCGACCGCTCCCTACACCAAGTGGAGAAAACGCTCCACTTCAGGCCGTACATCCTCCGTTTGGACGGGGCCCTGGAGCTCAGGAGGGTCTCGACTGCTCCGGCTGTTAGACCCGCCTCTAGGTACTGTGCCCCCAGACCCACAGTCGCCATATTGCGGGGCAAGGGTGAAGAACCCGGCCCTGCGCCTGGGACAGCAGGTCTCTCCTCAGAGGGACCCGCCACGGCGGCCCGTCCAGGAGCGACATGATGTCCGAGAACCACACCCGGGTTGGCCAGAACGGGGCTACGAGCAGTAGTCCGACATTGTCCTGGCGGACCCGCTCCAGAACCCCCGGGAGCAGAGCGACTGGGGGAAAAGCGTACAGACGTAGCTTCGGCCACGAATGTACCATGGCGTCCAGACCCAACGGGGCTGGAGGAACGAGAGAAAACCATAGCGGGCAGTGCGTAGTCTCTTGAGACGCTATAGACTAAATGAAAAATGGTGCAGATATTTATAGTAGTGTTAATGGTAACAGTCGTAATGTTAATTATTATAATAACAATAGGACTAGTAACAATAGTCGTTGCAGCAGAGGGTGTCGAGCAGGAACACGGGGGCAGCAGGTGACTCGCAGCCACAGATCCAGACTCCACAGCTCCAGAGCCAGAAAACCTGCAGGAAGTGATAGGAGGAGAGAGGAGAGAGACGAGAAAGCACAAGACTACCAGAAAGGGGAGAAGTTGTGTTAGTAACATGCAATAATGGGATGAGGTTGCATACAGAGGGAGAGAAAGTAGAGGAGAGAGGAGCTCAGTGCATCATGGGAAATCCCCCGGCAGTCTAGGCCTATAGCAGCATAACTAAGGGATGGTTCAGGACTAACCTGAGCCAGCCCTAACTATAAGCTTTATCAAAGAGGAAAGTCTTAAGCCTACTCTTAAATGTGGAGATGGTGTCTGCCTCCTGAACCCAAACTGGAACCTGGTTCCACAGGAGAGGAGCTTGATAGCTGAATGCTCTGGCTCCAAGTCTACTTTTGGAGACTCTAGGAACCACAAGTAACCCTGCATTCTGGGAGCGCAGTGCTCTGGTGGGGTAGTAAGGTACTATGAGCTCTTTAAGATAAGATGGTGCCTGACCATTAAGAGCTTTGTAGGTAAGAAGAATGATTTTAAATTCTATTCTGGATTTTACTGGAAGCCAATGCAAAGAAGCTAAAACAGGAGAAATGTGATCTCTTTTCCTGGTTCCTGTCAGAACACGTGCTGCAGCATTCTGGATCAGCTGAAGAGTCTTAACAGACTTTTTCGAGCAGCCTGATAATAAGGAATTGCAGTAATCCAGCCTAGAAGTAACAAATGCATGGACTAGTTTGTCTGCATCATTTTTAGACAGGATATTCCTGATTTTCGCAATATTACGTAGGTGGAAAAAGGCGGTCCTTGAAATTTGCTTAATGTGAGACTTAAACGACATGTCCTGATCAAAGATAACTCCAAGATTCCTCACAGTGGTGCTGGAGGCCAGGGCGATGCCATCCAGGGAAACTATATCTTTAGATAATGCGTCATGGAGGTGCTTAGGCCCCAGAGCAATAACTTCAGTTTTATCTGAGTTTAACATTAGAAAATTACAGGTCATCCAGGTTTTAACATCCTGAAGGCACATTTGAAGTTTAGCTAACTGATGAGTTTCATCTGGCTTGATCGATAGATATAACTGAGTATCATCTGCATAACAATGAAAGCTTATGGAATGTTTCCTGATAATATTGCCTAACGGAAGCATATATAAAGTGAACAGGATTGGACATATCCTTGTGGAACTCCATGACTAACTTTGGCGTGCATGGAGGACATGTTAACATGTACAAACTGATCTGATAAATAGGACTTAAACCAGCTTAGAGCAGTTCCTTTAATGCCAATGAAATGTTCCAGTCTCTGTAATAGGAATAGGATAGATACTAGACAGGCGATCTGTGATTTGGACTGTACTGTCAGGTTACCATACTCTTTAGTATAGCATGTTGTTGATCCCTACAGGCCAGGTGTCACCTATTGCCTTTGGGTCAAACACCCTCTCCTCAGTCTTGGTCACACTTAGCACAAGATAGTTGTCGTCACACCACTGGACATATTCTTCATTTTTCGTATGATACGCTGCAGGGCTTCTATCTTTGTGCATAAGGCCGAGGATTGCGGCATCTTCTGAGAATTTGAAAATCTAATTGTCAGTGTGGAGTCTAGTGCAATTGTTAGTATACAGTGTGAAGAGGACTGGAGACATGACACAGCCATGACGGGCACCAGTGCTGATTGGACTGGGCTCCGTGAGAGCATTATTCACTCTGACTTTTTGAGTACAGTTTGTTAAAAAAGTAAAATACCAGTTGAGAATAAAAAAGTCATTCAGGTCATTAGCTTTTTGCAGGTCACCCAAGGTAATGCTGCATTTTTGAACTGGTGTCATATTAGTTTTAACCTTCATCGTGTCCCATAGTTCATTTCTGTAAAACTCTGTTCAAGTAATTCTCCTCCTGACTTCCCTGAACAAGTGATTAAGTTAAGTTTTGTTTGCACAACTTTCCTACGTTTCAACAATATCTAACCACGTGTCGTACAAATACAAAAAAAGGTTTGAACCCACGAATCGCAGGTCTTCTTGTATCCGTGGCTGAAGTAGCAACTTCCTCCTTCTACATACCAGCTGCACTGCATGGGTGTTTTGCTGCTGAACAGTTCCTGTTCTCTACTTCCTCTACTTCAATCCATGACCATGTGAGTTATTTCATGGGGAGGTTCTGTTGCAATTTGGGGAGAATTGTGTTTTCCCAAAATCTTGCACTGTGTGTTATAAGAGTTCTTGAAGTTGCAAGTGAAGGTGACTCTGGACTCTAGAAAGCATGGAGACATCAGTAGACCAGATGACGGACCAAGTCTCATACACCCAGAGTAACCCTCTGTTTGATATGTCACTCAGCAGGAGTGATCTCTACAGATTCCAGCCTGATGGTGAGTACTCAGGCAGAAAGTATGAAACTTTTCAAAGCAAACAGAATGACTTTTTATTTCCTTTCAATGCTGGTTAGCCATCCTGTGAGACTTTCTTCTTAATGGACACAATTCAAACATGTTCTTATTTGCTTCACTGTGCAGTAGATTGTAGATTGGTAGACTGGTTGTAACTTGATATAAGTCATTAAAGGTCTCATTTGAATGTATATGTGTGTGTGTCTTTACTAGATAGTGAGTGTAGAAACAAACAGGAAACATGAGGAAAGAGAAGGGTATGACATGCAACAAAGGTCATTGGCTGGAATTAGGAAACAGGTTGTCGCGGTTATATGAAATGCACCTGAACTTCTTGGCCACCAGAACACCACAAATTTAGAACATTTTGGGACATCCAGCTTCTCATACAGTCCAGGCAACAACTTGAAGGTTAATTAATTGCTGAGATATTTGCAGTTGAAAAGTACAGTTTAGTGTTTTCCACATAAAGGTGGAAAGAGATATTAAAACAAATAATTAGTGCCTTCAGTGGAAGCATATATTTACAATATAAGACTGGGCCAAGAACAAGTGCTTGGGACAGGACTGTAGTGCTGTCCCAAGTGTCAGCTACATTTACATTTAGCTGACACTTTTTTCCAAAGCGACATGTCAGAGGTTGCACGCCTCTGGAGCAACTAGACGTTAAGTGTCTTGCTCAGGGACACAATAGCAGATGTCTCACAGTGGGAATTGAACCCAGGTCTCCCACATCAAAGGCAAGCATCTTAACTATGCGCCATCACCACCATTCTATGGGTTAAAACAGCTGCGTCAAACCGCCAATCTGTCATCCCCAACTGTGAAAAATGTCTAAATGGAAAGTTCATAAAAGCAAATTAAAGAGTGGGTTAGACCTTACAGCTTTTAAAAACTCCTTAAATATATCCTTTAAAGTAATGAAAATGGAAATATGAAATTAAATTAAATGTATTTATTAAACTTTATAATGTAAAAAAACCAAACCTTAAAAACCAAAAAGTTTTAATGTTATATTTAATCACAGAATTGTTAATTAATTTAAGAATATAGTTGGTTAGTATCATAGATACCACGTGATGATTAATTATCAACTTTTACAGTGTTTAAAAAATATTTAAGAAATTAAATTTAATATATAAATCTCAAAATAAATAGAAAGACCATTACATTTACCAATTAATAAATGTACTGAATATATGTATGTCCTTAAATTAATTAACAAATGGGCATGTAATTCATGAATGGAAATGTTCTCACACAGCACCCCAAACATTGTGAACAAACAAGCAATACAGAGAATACAATATCATTATATTGTAAAGTAGATATAAAAGAGATTGTAGGAGGTAGGTCAGTTGTTACAGGATTTTTTCAAATACTGGAGCCACTTTTTCAAAATGCTTCATACAGTCTGCATTAATATATGCATCTTGGCCAAACAGTTAATCTCACCTCCAAAACTCAGTTAAAACAAAAACTAAACATGTACAACCAAAAACTGGCAACAATTCTCACTCAGGAAGCACACAGTATCACTCATAACACATGGACGTAAAAACACTAACAACAAGGAGCATTATACATAAATTATGAACTTTTATCTTTGAAATTTGAATGACTACATAAATCAGTATTTTAATATAAAATAACAATAACATATTTTCACTTTATTGACTGTACTAAAGTACATGTAACCAGAATGAATGCAATGAAATGCAGCAATTTGCTGCAATATCCTTTACAGAATTTTTTCTATATCACTGCATATAGTAATATACTTGTTTTAATAATTGAAACAAATTTCAAATTTCAGTGCTGCAAAACAATTTTGTACACTGGTACTGAGACACAATGACCGCAGCCTATAATTCATGTACAAACCCCCTGAACCTGAATTCGGCTAAAATACAAGCCTATTTCCTACGTTCTAAACCACACATTTTCAAAATACTACACGCAGTTCTCTATGCACATTAAATTTGCTGTAAATATCCTGCTCAGATTTTCTATACATTCTTATATGTTAGCAACTGAGAAAACTGTAAAAGCAGCATTGTCTGGTCTCATGTTAGTTATATATTATTGTCATCCTCCTTTGCTTTTACTGTAAAGCACATCAGCTGCCACTGTTAAACTTGAGAGGAAATGAAATGGCAGCCATGACCAGTAGATGGTAGCAATATTTCATTGTTCTTGTTAGACAGGCACAGCAGGTTTTTTGAGAGAAACGCCAGGGTTCTGTTGCAAATGTCCCCTGAAATAAAATGAAATGAAACACCACCATTTTTAAGGTAAATACTACTTTGTTTTTTACCCAGTAGCAGAGAAAACAGCTCTGCATAGGTTTGATGATGCAAGTAAGAGATAAAAGCTAAAGTAAAGTAAGAGCTTGCCATTGGCAGGAATTGTTGGGTCTCTGTTAATAATATTACAAAGAGTACAGTCTAGACGAGCTTAACTTCTGTTTCGAAGTGGCAATATAAATAAGATTTAATTTAATTGAATTAACAAGAATAAAGTTCTATAAAATAGTGATGCATTATGAATAAGCATGACTACATGACTCGTGCGTCATGTAAAGAATTTGCCACGGCTGCACAGTCACAACTGACACTGCAGCACTCTCCTCACTCCTCCCTTCCTTAAAACAGTATGTCAACTGTAATGAGCCTTAATGGAAACCATGATGGAAAAAAATCCAGTGCTGCTTTGAATGGATCTCTGCACACTAACTCAGTCCTTGTAAAGTCTGTTAAGACTGGAGGCTAGTCCGCTGGGTCATTTTGTGGAGCAGCAACTGTTCCATTACAGTCTAAGCTGCTTTAACTGATGCTGGCTGTACTTCTCCGGCTGTGCTAGTACTGACTGATTATATTTTACATGGGTCTATGGGACTTGCCAAAGATGTCTGGACTGGGACTGTGCTCATATTGGCTGAGGCTGCCCGTATTTCACCTGGGTCTCTAGGACTTGCTGAAAACGTCTGAGAAGAAGTCAGAGAACACACATTTACCTGACTGATGTCATTCAGTTTTTTCTCTTGTCCTTGCCAAAAGGATAGGCTATTTTCCTCTTTATCCTCTCATCAAAGATGTAAACATTGACACCCGCTTTGACCTTTGACACAAGAGTGAGGTCAACATGCCAACAACCACTCAATGTCATAGCCCCACCCACTGGCAACAGGAAGTGTCAAGTTTCTCACTGTTGTGTAGTATTCCTAACATATTTGCCACACCTGACTTAAGACATTGATGATGCTATGTGTGAAGCTTGTGAGTTTTCAGGTACAGCATGTCCATGGTGTGGCATCAAAGTTCGATGTTTTCACATGAAACAGGAAGTTTTTGTAACTTCAATGTGCATGCTCATATCTGTACCAAATTTCATACATTTGACAAGGGTCACGTCCTGAACACATCTACAGGGCAAAATTCACCCAACCTCATAGCGCTACCTGCTGGCATCAGGAAGTGTCCCTTCAATGATGCATTCCCCACACACTAAATCACCATGATTCATGATTCTTTTCTGGTACATGTATCATGCCAAAACACACAAAAAAAGCCTCTTGGAGCCATACCTGAAAACAGACAGAAAGTCAGCCATTTTGATTTGAATGTGCAATTTCAGCCCATTTATGGCCTTTTACAAAGTCCGTACTTTAACGAACTCCTCCCAGGGAATTAATCAGATCAACATCAATTTTGTACTGTGCTTTATAAAGGCATTGACGATGAAATATTGTGCTGTCTGTGAGTTTTCGTCGATGGGAGTTTCCGTGAAGTGGTGTCAAGATCAATGGTTTGTCATAATACAGGACGTTATTATAAATTTAGAGTACATGCTCAGATCTGTACCAAACTTACTTAACTAACTCAAACAAATGTTTGAGCTACAGAATCTGCAATACCACCGCCTCACACCTCGATGCGCTACACGTGCAATTTGTTTTTATTTAGGGCATTTTAAATCTTCCATAGCTTTCATCAGACATTAATACAGTGAACCAGATGCTAACATGGGAGTGGATTTTCTTTCCAGTCCCATTCCACTCCTACAAAAACAATACAGTCCCGTCCCAATCCCATGACAGAGAAAAAAAACCTGGCCCCTCAACAATCCCAGAAGAATTACTCCCGTTTAATCCCATGTAAGTGCCTAAACATATTGTAACCATTAAAAACATTTGTCAGTGTTATTTTATTGCAAGAACTGATATTGTAGATATAGATCTGTATTGAATTTTTTGCAGATAGTACTTTCAAAATAAACATTTCGTAACTTAACAAACAAGATCATTAAAAACATCTCCTCATTGTGATAATCCGTATTTGTATAGCGCCTTTCTAGTCTTTTTCGATCACTCAAAGTGCTTTTACACATTACTACATCTGCATTCACACACTGAGCCTAAGTGCTCAAACCGAAACTAACATTCACACAATGGAGAAACCAGGGATTCAGTGTCTTGCCCAAGAACACTTCAACCTGCAGACTGGGGGAGCCGGGATTGAACCGCCAACCATCCAATTAACAGCCAACCCAATCTACCCCACAGTCTTCTGAACTTTGCTACGTTTCGTCTCTTGAAATGACTTTCCCAAGATGTAAGTTTACTCCAGAAGACTGATCACATTCTCTGTTTTAAATGTAGTTTCCTGTTTTTGTTTCAGATCTGAAGCCAGCAAAGCCCAGAAGACAGTGGTGTTTTAATGTGATTATTGTTTACCTCATCTTGCAGACCGCCCTTAATGCCTTTCTCATTTATAAAGGTAGACTGTATACACATAGTATTATTTACTGTGATATGTTAAATAGAATTAGTTCTATATCAGTGTGTTTTACCAACTTTTATTTACTACAAACTACAAATAAGAGTACTTATACTGTAAATGTTAAGTGAATCAAGTTACTGATGAAATATATTTGTTCTTTTTTCCTTTCTGTCACAGTTTTCACATTGGAGTCTTCAATGTCTAACCCTAGGATGGAGACGCTGACATCCAATCACATTTCTTTTGGTGGAGAACAGGTTGATGACAACCTCCAAATTCTCCTCCTCAACAACAGTCAAGAAACCAAGACCCTCAGAGGCCACATATGGGCCCTCAAGAGCCAGGTCCTTCTCATGTTTATATGTAACATTCTACTGAACTTAATGTATATACAGCTATATAGCTTCAGTCCAGATTTAGTTTACTTTTTACCACAAATATAGATGATTTTAAATATTTCAACAATTTTAGGAAATAAGCTTTTTTTTTTTTTTTTTTTTTTTCTGAGTGAGATGAGAAGATCCATATCAGTTTTATGTCTGTGTTCAGCACTTCTTTTTAACCTCTGTCTGAACACTGTTTTAGTGCCTGTCTCTTTAAGGACCCCCTCCCTGAAAGCCCACTTGCTTCTAATTGGCCAACTTACCCAAGCAAAGAAGATTTAGCGGCACCTCGCTAAATCAAGGCCTGGTAAACACAACTCGGAGTTGAATGTCAATGGAGAAAATATCGTCTGGTTTTCCCTCTGATGTCCTCCGGCTGCTCTGCCTCCACTTTTGCTGCTTTACGGAGTTTATATGTTACTGGTTACTTTCGCAGCTAACGACTTCTATCTAGAAGCTTAGTAGCTACTGTGCTACTAAGTTAGCTACTCAGCCAGCCGTGCAGCTATCCATCCTGTTGCTGATTTTGGCCAGACTGGAAACTTGGTGTTCCTGGGTGTGTTTGTGTTTCCACTTCTAACATAACTACAGAAGCTTTGGATCGCTGTTTTAGAGCCAGCTGATAACAGGAGTTAATGTTAGCAACGGCTAGCAGTTAGCAACCTGTAGCATTAGCAACAAGTGAAGCTATCTGTCCATCAGGAACCTTCATAAATCACGGAGTTGAGGCAGAGGAGCCAAAGGAAATCAGAGGGAAAACCAAGATATTTTTTCTTTCCTTACACTGTTGTGCTTGGTGCGTAAATTTCTTTTACCATCAGAGTAATGCACCACTAAAATAACAAAAAACTGTGAAATGCTGCGGCGTTAATTTTAGACCTGTTTTTTGGGGGGGTCAATGGCGCAATGGCTTTCTGCTGCCTCAAGAAAGCAATGCCCCAACACTGCAATGCCTGACCACTCCTCATTTTAAGACCAACAATTCCATGGGCCCACAGATGGGCGCAAATGCATTTGCTATTTAACCAAAGTGGGTGGTTAGTGTGAAACAGTTGGAAACTAGCACTGAAAGTTGCACTGTGCTTTGCGTCACTTTGCACTGGGTGCAAGATAGGGCCCTTGGAGTTTGACATGCTTCACGCCGTGCTTAGATCATTAAAATAGGGCCCACTGTCTTTTGTTTATTTAAAGCAAAATATAGTATAGCCAAGTTTTGGAAATCAGTCAACAGAACAATCCAACAAATTTGGCTTTTGGCTCTTACTTAAACTTAAACTGATGATCAAGGGAAAATACTCCTTATAACACCTTTGAGAAGATTTGGAGATCTTCTTGAGGTTATAAAGAGAGAGAGGAGAAAATTTGCTATGAATACTAGTTGACATAATATATGTACCTTTCTGCTTTTAACAATCATTGTTTTGGTAAATGGGACAATTGACACTGACGTGGCAGACATTTGTGTGGCATGCATTGTAATCATTTGGCTACCACGGTGCTCCGTGTATAATTGTTATCGATTTGCTTATACTTGATTACATTTTGGATGGTTTGCCCTGTCAAAGCAGAGTATAATTAGAAGGTGCCATGATGTGAATTTTATTAAGTGCACTATATTTGTCTGAATGTCTGTTCTTGTTTGTGGAGTTTTATTAAATTCAATATAAACATTTACCAATCTAGTTAATCAATCAGGGCAATGTGCAATATTTCATATGAATTTTGTATTTTTTTTCTATTGTATTAAATGTAGCTCAACCATAGTTAAATTTTTATTTATATAGCGCCAAATCACAACAACAGTTATCTCACAGCGCTTTTCATAAAAGAGCAGGTCTAGACCGGCTTCTGTAAATAACATCACAGATGATGTTATTTACAGAAGCCCAACAGTTCCCACCAAGAGCAAGCACTAGGCGACAGAGGCAAGGAAAAACTTCCTTTTAAGAGGCAGAAACCTCGAGCAGAACCATGGCTCAGGGTGGGCGGCCATCTGCCTCGACCGGTTGGGGTGAGAGAGAGAGAGAGAGAGAGAGAGAGAGATGTAAGGAGAGAGAGAGAGAGAGATGTAAGGAGAGAGATGTAAGGAAAAGAGAGAGGGGAGGGAGGCAGCCTACACAATATACACACAGAGGTACACACAGTGAAGGTAATGTTGCTATAGACTAAATGAAAAATGGTACAGATATTTATAATAGTGTTAATGGTAACCATCGTAATGTTAATGATTATAATAACAATAATAACAATAAGACTAGCAAAAATAGTCGTTGCAGCAGAGGGTGTCGAGCAGGAACACGGGGGCAGCAAGTGACCCGCAACCACAGATCCAGACTCCACAGCTCCAGAGCCAGAAAACCTGCAGGAAGTGATAGGAGAGAGGAGAGAGACGAGAAAGCACAAGACTACCAGAAAGGGGAGAAGTTGTGTTAGTAACATGCAATAATGGGATAAGGTTGCATACAGAGGGAGAGAAAGTAGAGGAGAGAGGAGCTCAGTGCATCATGGGAAATCCCCCGGCAGTCTAGGCCTATAGTAGCATAACTAGATGGTTCAGGACTACCTGAGCCAGCCCTAACTATAAGCTTTATCAAAGAGGAAAGTCTTAAGCCTACTCTTAAATGTGGAGATGGTGTCTGCCTCCTGAACCCAAACTGGAACCTGGTTCCACAGGAGAGGAGCTTGATAGCTGAACGCTCTGGCTCCTAGTCTACTTTTGGAGACTCTAGGAACCACAAGTAACCCTGCATTCTGGGAGCGCAGTGCTCTGGTGGGGTAGTAAGGTACTATGAGCTCTTTAAGATAAGATGGTGCCTGACCATTAAGAGCTTTGTAGGTAAGAAGAATGATTTTAAATTCTATTCTGGATTTTACTGGAAGCCAATGCAAAGAAGCTAAAACAGGAGAAATGTGATCTCTTTTCCTGGTTCCTGTCAGAACACGTGCTGCAGCATTCTGGATCAGCTAAAGAGTCTTAATGGACTTTTTCGAGCAGCCTGATAATAAGGAATTGCAGTAATCCAGCCTAGAAGTAACAAATGCATGGACTAGTTTTTCTGCATAATTTTTAGACAGGATGTTCCTGATTTTCGCAATATTACGTAGGTGGAAAAAGGCGGTCCTTGAAATTTGCTTAATGTGAGACTTAAAAGACATGTCCTGATCAAAGATAACTCCAAGATTCCTCACAGTGGTGCTGGAGGCCAAGGCGATGCCATCCAGGGAAACTATATCTTTAGATAATGCGTCACGGAGGTGCTTAGGCCCCAGAGTAATAACTTCAGTTTTATCTGAGTTTAACATGAGAAAATTACAGGTCATCCAGGTTTTAACATCCTGAAGGCACATTTGAAGTTTAGCTAACTGATGAGTTTCATCTGGCTTGATCGATAGATATAACTGAGTATCATCTGCATAACAATGAAAGCTTATGGAATGTTTCCTGATAATATTGCCTAAAGGAAGCATATATAAAGTGAAGAGGATTGGTCCAAGGACAGATCCTTGAGGAACTCCATGAGTAACTTTGGCGTGCATGGAGGACTCATCGTTAACATGTACAAACTGAAATCGATCTGATAAATAGGACTTAAACCAGCTTAGAGCGGTTCCTTTAATGCCAATGAAATATTCCAGTCTCTGCAATAGGATCTGATGGTCAATGGTATCAAATGCAGCACTAAGATCTAATAAAACCAGTACAGAGACAAGTCCTTTGTCTGATGCAATAAGGAGGTCATTAGTAATTTTCACCAGTGCTGTCTCTGTGCTATGATGAGCTCTAAATCCTGACTGAAAATCCTCAAATAAACTATTGCTCTGTAGAAAGTCACACAGCTGTTGAGCAACTGCTTTCTCCAGAACCTTAGAGAGAAATGGAAGGTTAGATATAGGTCTATAGTTGGCTAAAACATCCGGATCAAGTTTGGGCTTTTTCAGAAGAGGTTTAATTACAGCTACTTTAAAGTACTGTGGTACATAGCCTGTTGATAAAGATAGATTGATCATATCTAGTATAGAGGTGCTGACTAAGGGTAGAACATCTTTAAGCAGCCTAGTCGGGATGGGGTCTAAAATAGTGTTACTTTAAAGTGCATTAAGACCAAACGCAAATTTAATCCTCCCAAAGCTTTCCTAGTGAGGGCTTTATTGTTGGACTACTGCCAAGTGTTCACACACAATGCAAAAATGCGAATAAACACAACCCAAAACATTTTGCTGTGATTTAATTGCAATAAATGGATCAAACTGATGCCAAAATTACTACAACATGATGGCGATTTCTTAAACATATGAATTCATACTTTGTCAGGTCTGGCAGCAAGTCAGCAGGATAACAACTTTTAAAATGTTTCTATTCTGGATGGAGTTCGTATCAATCAGGGTTGTGCTATGCAATAACAATAGCTGGAATCAAGTAACAGACAAATTTTCTGAACTCACCATGTTGTTCAACTTCCTCCATTTCTTTTCTCCAAGTAATGTCCAGTTTTGCCCGGTTTTTATATCAATATGAAGTAGTAGTCCAACAGAGCTCTGGGTGCCAACCAACGCTAAAAACAACATTAGATTGACACTAGACTGGATGTGCATGGAAGGTTGCTGCCAAAAAGCTCCAACGCTGTTGTCCCAAAAACTAAACTAAAAAGCTAATTTAATAAAAGCAGTTAACTCTGAGCTCCTCCAAAGGTAAACAGCGTAGTTGTCAGAGCGTAATCCATTCTGACTACCGTTGAGTATTTGTCCAAAAGTTGCAGCGCTGCCTCTCTCTCCTCTGCTGCTCAGCAGCTCTCTGTCGGCCAGCGGTGTTTCACCCCCCTGCTTTGCTTGTTACCTCCAAACAACGCTCTGAAGCCATCGGAGACATCCAGACAATCTCAACGCTGATAGCTTCATGCGACTTTCTCACTCGTGTTGAAAATGTACTCGAATGCCTTCGCACACCCTGCTTTTGGTCTGAAAGCACCATTAGACATAGACATAGAAAAGAGTCATCAAATGAACTGACAGAAATGTCGCTTAGGTTACACAGCAATATCTATGTAAATTCATTCATTTGGTTTGGTCAACATAAACATCACGGTTATGTTATGTTGTTTACCACAACAGGTCAACAGTCTGTGTGGAGAGGAAGGTCAGCTGGACAAACTGAGGTCTGACCTACGCCTGCTTAACGCCAGCACCCACAACCTGGAAGACAAACTGACAACCATCTACCCCAGCCCAGGTCAGATACACATCTATGTGTGTATGTCTGTGCATAGTCTGTCCTTGGCAGTTAGTGCGTGGTCAGTGATTCCATAAAGACTTGAGACTTGAATAAGTTTAGGTTTTTAGTGTACCTGTTTGTTCAGCTTTCTTTATGTCTCATTGAGCAAGCTACCTAGTCTGCATAGTCTATAGTCTGCATCCGTCGGGTCCACAGCTGTCGGTGTGCGTGTCCACTCCAGAGTATATTCCAGCCTTTAGTAGTAATCATTACATTCAGAAAGCTAAATAGCACAGTCCCCAGGACATTTTTATATTAGGAATCTTTGCAGAAACACTGAGGCCAATGTGACACATCCCTGTGCTTTTTAGATGCATGTTCAAAATGTGTGTCTCACATTGGTTTGATCTACAGGATTAATAACTGCATTAATAACACTGAAACAACACAACAATTGCGAAGATACAGCTAGATATTCAGCGATTCCTTAGATATTCACACAACTCTTACTACTCCATTTCAAAACATTTGTTTCTAATGTATATCTAACCTGAGCGATGACGATAACTCTGTTTCAACAATTCAATACCACATCGGAGCATATAAGCCCCGCCCTCACTGCAAGCGGCTTATTGTGCTGTAGTTTATTCAAAGTTTATTAATATTAATTCTGAACTTGTTGTGTGTCCAAATTGCACTTAATGCGACACTGCACTCCTTTGGGTCCGCAGCAACACATCCGTTGATTGGCTGAATGCTTCTTGACATAAACAAAATACAAACACACACACTCACAGAGATTCCTTCCTTTATTAGAGAGAGGATATGAATAGATATGAATGACATTGCGTGTTTATATACTTGAAGTCACAATGTCAGGAAAATTAGCAACATAAACTGTATTACAAAGAGCATTTTCTGGCTGTTGCCTTGTTGAGGTTTAAGGCTAACCGATAACTGTAAAACTGTAACAACCTGGTCAGAAATTAAAAATGCATGGGCAGGGTTTATCAACCCTAGGAATTATTTTGCGTGTGTCTCCTCAGGACCTCCTGGTCCTGCAGGGACAGATGGGCTGCCAGGACATCCAGGTGCACCAGGAGAGAAAGGCCTCAAAGGTAAGTTGAACTGAGTAACTGGGACAACACAACAACTTGGGGTACGGACGAATTTAAATTTCTCTCAGACTTCTCTTACAGTTTTTTTTTACCACTATAAACTGCAAGTTACACACAAAATCTTTAAATATCACACAATTTTTTAAACCCCTCTGACTTTCTTTCCTTTTCCAAACACAAGTCAAAATGCTACACTTATTCACCAGGTAACCACTAACTGCTTAACTGATCACTACTACTACTATTTATTCACTACTACTGTTCATCACAATTCTGTTACAGTTTCTCATTTATTTAAACACATTTTCTGAAAGCATCCCTCATATTCTCTACACATAAATCAAAAACACACACAATGTGCAAAACCCCTCAATTCTCCTGCAAAATTAAACCTTACATTCAAAACAATGTTATTACTTCTCAAAATGGAATTTGGTTCCAAATGACACACACAAACCATCATATGAATAGACATCTATAGGAACCAGTTGAACACTAATGTTCTCAAATGTAAAACACTATGATGAATGGAAAACACTTCTTCTCCATTCATCACAATGACTTAGGCCTTTTTTTTGTTCAGTGTTACATTAAATTACATTACATTTACTCATTTGGCAGACGCTTTTATCCAAAGTGACTTACATTTGAGGAACAACATACAAGCATCAACAGAGCATCAAATACAGATCTACAACTGACAATACATATTAGTAAGAGCAGCATTAAGTACTAGTAAGAGCTCATAGTACATATCACATCAATGGGGTAAATACCTAGGGAAGGAAGTAAGAATTAACAAAAAGTGCAATTAAAACAAAAAAGTGCAAGAAGAAGAAGAAGAAGAGCACAGGACGTGCATGTTAGAGGTTAGGAGTTAGAGGTGTTATAAGAGGAAGTGTTCTCAGAAGAGATGAGTTTTCAAGAGCTTCTTGAAGTTAGAGAGGGACGCCCCTGCTCTGATGGCGTGTGGTAGCTCGTTCCACCATCGTGGTGTCACAGATGAGAATAGCCGGGACTGGGATTGCTTTGTGTGAAGGGATGGCAGAGCCAGGCGGCGTTTGTTGGAGGAGTGTAGTGTATTATGGAGTTTAGGTAGATGGGTGCAGACCCAGTAGTCACTCTGTATGCAAGCATTAGTGATTTGAATTTGATTCTGGAGCCAGTGGAGGTCACTGAGTAATCGAGTGACATGAGTCTTTTTGGGCTGATCAAAAACCAGACGTGCAGCTGCGTTCTGAACCATTTGTAAGGGTTTCACCACACAAGCTGGAAGACCTGCTAGGAGGGCATTGCAATAGTCGAGGCGAGAGATAACCATGGCCTGTACCAGAAGCTGGGTGGTGTACTGAGTGAGGTAGGGCCTGATTTTACTTATGTTGTATAGAGCAAAGCAGCATGACCGAGAGGCAGCAGCAACATGGTCTGAAAAGGACAGCTGGTCATCAATTATGGCACCCAAGTTTCTCACCACCTCGGTTGGAGTGATGGTTGAGGAGTCAATTTGTAGTGTGATGTTATGGTGGATAGATTGCTTGGCTGGAATGACCAAGAGTTCAGTCTTAGGTTTAGTTGAAGGTGGCAAGCCTTCATCCATGCAAGCCTTCATCCATGTCTCCGAGAGAAAGTCCGTGATCCGCGGCGAGATGGTGGGATCGCCTGGCGGGAAGGATAGGTAGAGTTGCGTATCATCTGCGTAGCAGTGATAAGAGAAGCTGTGCAAGCGAATGATCGGCCCCAGTGAGGTGGTGTAAATTGAGAAGAGAAGGGGCCCTAGCACTGAGTCTTGGGGCACTCCTTTTTGAGCAAGGGTGTAACCCAGGCCCTTTTGAAAGTGTCAGGAAGGTTCCTGAAGCCAGAGAAGCATTTATCACATGAGTGATTGTTGGGACCACGGTAGGAGATATGGCTTGGAGGAGATTCATAGGAATTGGGTCCAGTGGGCATGTAGTTTGACGGCTATGGGTCAAGAGTTCTGATACTTCGCTCTCTGTGAGGGGAGTAAATGAGGAGAGTGAAGAACCACTGACCTGGGAGGTCAGAGGAAAAGATGTAGTACGACTGACCTGGTTGAGTTTGAATGTTTCAGAGAATTGGCTAGTTATAGCCGCCACTTTGCCTGTGAAGAAGGCAGCAAAGGACAAGTTTGTGGGTGGTGTGGAAAATAATTTCCTTGAGTCAGTGGCACTGCTAATTCTGTTATTATAGAACGCAGTTTTGGCAGCACTGATGCCATAACTGCCCTCACAGCCCTTAAGGTCGGCGGGGTCTTCGGTTTTTCGCCATTTTCTTTCAGCAGCTCTGAGATCAGTAAGGTGCCCACGGATGGTATTAGCCACGTGTGGGACTGGTCTGGACGAGCAGGCTTGGTGGATAGAGGACACAGGCTATCCAGGCACAAGCTTAGTGTAGAGCACAGAGATTGTGTGGCATCATTGACCTCAAGTGAGGAAAATGTGTTGAGGGAAGGTAGAGCAGAAGCTATCACTGAGGCAAAGTGAGCGGGAGACAGGTTGCGGAGGTTGCGGCGGTGTGAGACCAATGATGATGGAAGAATGGGCTTTTCCTGTAGGCATACTGTGAACTGAATTGAAATAGTGGTCAGACACATGTAGAGGTGTGACTGTTAGGCACTCTGTGGCACAGTTTCAGACAAGAACAAGGTCAAGCACCTTGCCAGCTTTGTGGGTCGGGGGGCTGAGAACCCAGATGTGGGTGGTGCCTGTTTTAAAGGCTTGAGGAGTGCCCGATGGCATGATACCTCTTGCGTGGACCGGAGACAATGGGAATAGTATAGTAGCACATGGCCTGAGTGTAGTTGTAGCTGGCAGCTTTAAGTGAGTAGGTGTGCCTCGGGAAGGGAAAAAGCTTCTCTTGTAGGCGGCCTTGCTCAGTGGACTCACACACACACACGTAGACTCGCTGGTCTTTACCGAAGTAGGTCTTCACACAAGGAGCCAACGCTAACGCTGATGCTTCAGTGGTAGGTTTCACTGAAGTAGTGCGAGTCTAATTGCACACAGGTGTTGGGAATTAAGACTGACTGCACCCAGCTGAGATAGGCCTCCGGATTACCAAGACAAAAGCTTGGTTTCAGTGGGTGGGACACACACCCAGTTGTTTGATCTCGCTCAGCCGGTCTTCAGATTCTAGTGGATTGCTCAGTAAAATAGCAGCTGTTCAGCTGTTCTAGTAGGGGGGCAGAGCGACTGGGGGAAAAGCATACAGACGCCGTCTCGGCCACGTCTGCACCATGGCATCCAGCCCTAGCGGGGCTGGGGGCGAGAGGGAGAACCACAGTGGACAGTGCGTAGTCTCTTGAGACGCAAACAGGTCCACATCTATAGGGCCGAACCTTTCGCACAATAACTCCACCACCTCGGGGTGGAGTCTCTATTCCCCGGGCCTCAGCCCCTGTCTTGACTTGAAAAAAAGTTTACAAGGCTCCGCCATGCTCCTGCGAAATCCGCCTAGGGAACCAGCCCCTTGGGGCAGGGAAAAACTGCCGATAACCCGTGTGTGAGCCAGAGCGCCTCCTGACTGCAGAACGGCGCGTGCTCGCTGGAGGCTAGCGCCTCCTGAGCATTGACATGGCGAGATAGCAGCGCCTGCTGCCTGAGTTGCCACGAGGGAGGGGACCTCGATCGCCCTCTCTCGGGGGGGGCTCAGGATCTCTTCCGGCGAGACTGAAGAACGGTCCTCAGATCCGTTGTCTCGGGGGGCTGTGGGGGGGAACCCGAGAAGCGACACTCAGGCTCTGGCGGTAGGAGCTGGACGACGGCTGGGACCATCTCTCTGCAGCCGTCGCTATCCTGGACGCAGACCGGCACGGGAGATACTGCTGGAACGCCTCCCCTTGCTTCCTGGCATGCTGAAACCTGCTGACCAGAGCAGATGTCACGCGACATGGCTTGGTAGGCAGCGCCGGCTCTTTAAGGGACGACGCAAGACCGGGCGAGACATAGCTGGCCAAAGCATCCTCAACCCCGACATGCTGACGTGCTGAGAAGGGCTTGCCCCATTTGTCATGCAAATCCGGGAAAAAGGCAAAGAAAAACATCCAAGCACGGCTGAAGTTTGCAAAACAAACATCAAGTCCCCCAAAAGCTTGTGGGAAAATGTGTTATGGTCTGATGAATACAAGGTAGAACTTTTTGGCCATAATTCCAAAAGGTATGTTTGGCGCAAAAACAACACTGCACATCACCCAAGAACACCATACCCACAGTGAACCATGGTGGTGGCAGCATCATGCTTTGGGGCTATTTTTCTTCAGCTGGAACCGGGGCCTTAGTCAGGGTGGAGGGAATTATGAACAGTTCCAAATACCAGGCAATTTTGGCACAAAACCTTCATTTGTCAGTTAGAAAGCTGAAGATGAAGAGGAAGTTCACCTTTCAGCACGACAACGACCCAAAACACACATCCAAATCCACAAAAGCATGGCTTCATCAGAAGAAGATTACTGTTTTGGAATGGCCCAGCCAGAGCCCAGACCTGAATCCAATTGAACATCTGTGGGGTGATCTGAAGAGTGCAGGCAATGTCCTCGCAATCTGACAGATTTGGAGCGTTTTAGAGATTTCTTACCTATTCTCATTTCGGAAAGTGGTGGTGATGGATGCTACAGTGTACCTGCTCAAATTTGGCTGTACTCTTTGCTCAGCCTCCCTCATTTTTAGACCATGACCATGTGGTCAACCAAGGTGGCTCATATTTCATCAGAGATTACGGTCCTTGGCCTTCCTCGCCCTCCTCCCGTCCTCCTCTTCTTACTCTCACTCCTCTGGTTCTGCCTCTGTTTCCAATGTTGGCATCCATTGCTCCAAAACAGAAGAGCTCACCTGTTGCCCTTTTATCTTAAAGATCTGATTGCTAATTGTAAAACTGTGTGACAGGTGTTTGCCCATGTGATGAGTCAGTGTGCATATTTGAATGTCAGTGTGTTCCTTGTGAAAACAAGAGATTTTATTCATGAAAATTGTACCAAATTGAATTGTGTGTGATGTTTTGAAAAAAGTGTGTTTTAGAACTGATGCATGAGTTACATGTTGTCGTCATTGTGTCTCATGTACCAGTATTTTTGTGTAAACAACTGAGAAAAACTGTAATGTAAATATTGTACATATCCATACTCCTTTATATTTCTTCTTTATATTTATACTTTTTATATTTATATTTCTTTACCTGGACAGAGAGCGAGGGGAGTAGGAGGGACAGGCAGGGGACAACAATGAGGACAAGTACAAAGACGAAGAGTTGGTTGAGAAGGGGGAGTGAGAAGAACACAAGGGCAGAGAAGAGATTCACAACACACACACACACACACACGTTTACTGTTTTATTTATTGTACAGCTTACGCACACTTTGTGTCATAACTGCCTGAACTTGTTTAAGGTTTTGCCAAAAGAGTGACTGATTAGACAAATGGATTTATGCAACTGAGCATTTGGTTCAGAGAATGGGGTTTAGTGTTTTAGCAATTGTGAAAAACTGTAACTCGTCCTCTACTTCTTCCTCCTCCTTCTCCTCTTTCTCTTCTTCCAACTCTTTCTCCTTGAACTTGTCCTCGTTGTTGTCCCCTGCCTCTCCCTCCTAGTCCCCTTGATCTCTATCCATTATTGCATTCCATTGTTCAAAACGGGTAATGTTAGAGTGTTATAACACTGAGAATCTGACATCAAAAGGGGGCTGGCCTCTGATCCTTATTGTTCTTTCTGCCCCCACGGAACTGTTGGCTCTTTTACACATATTGTATGGGAAAGTCCAGTGGTTTTTAGTTTGTGGGGGAAGTTTATACAGGTGAGCACCTGTAAGGTACCAGGTGTTAAACACTTAGCTATTTGGCAACAGGTCGTATTGTCTGTAACTTGTTGATACTGCAATAAAAAGTTAATGATTAAAAAAATATTGCAATGATGGCTTCCTTGTGGCTTCTTGTCTAACATTTTTATTATTTGTTTATGCAGGGATTATATTGTCGTTAGCAAAGTTGTATTGATTCGTCCCCTACTTGTTAGACAGTGCGTGATATGTGGGAGAATCATTTTATTCATGAACATTTTGGCTACATTAGTGGACATGCAGTTCCTTACGAATTTGAACTTTTATTACGAGTGCCGTGAAAGACAGATTTGGGTCAAATGTGATGCCAAGGTGTTTAAACTTGTGCACAATCTGAGACTGTGATGTCTGGATCTAGTGTTAAGGTTTGTCTGTTTGTGAATAACATGGTGTTTTTGTAACATTAAGCTGGAAGCAGGATTTAACTAGCCATGTGGTAACCTGTACCATTACAGCAGACAGTTTTGATGCAGCTTTGTCTTTATTTTTGCCATTTACACAGACAACCATATCATCAGCGTATATCTGGACATTTACATCCGAGCTAACAGATGGCAGATCATCTATGTACATCTATGTACATGACCCTTGCGGGACACCAGTAGAATACAATTAAAAGCTGTTTAGTGGTATACCTTTACACATTGGGTTCTGTCCAGAGAGGCTTCCATGGCATTTCTGTGCCATTTAAAACCTCCCATTGTCCATGTTCCTTTTTTATTATTTCTAACTTGACTGCGGTGCCCTACTTGTGCAAAAGCGACACTAAAGGGTATAAAAAAGGTGTCTTGTCCAAGTACCAAGTATCCATATGTGATGAGTTGGGAGTGAGAATGGGTTGTTATTTTACAGTACATACCCTATTTAACTCAGTTAAATAGTCAGTGCACTGACATGACATGACCTGTGTCAAATCTCTATCAGGCATGAACTTTTACTGTTTGTATGCATGTGTGCATGTACAGGTTTTGTCTAACTAAACACGTTTGCTGATTTGCTTACACAATCCATAATTTTAAGCAATCATATGAAGATCATGAATATCCACAGCAAATTACATGACAAGCAGCTTTAAGGTCATTACAAGTTTGCTATTGTAATGTGTTAAATATTTTTCAGCAATTATAACTTCTACGATGAAGATGTGTTTATATATATTATTTCAACAGTGTTTTACTATATTGTCATCTGTTTATAGCATGGGTGTCCACAAGAGGAGTTATAGTTGTTGACAAATACCTAATACACACTTATATCTGCTTAAAAGTATATTATAGTATGTTATTAACCATTTATTAAACGTTTATATGCTGCTTTTTGGTGACTTAAAACAAAGCATATCGTGACAGTCACTGGTCAGATTACCATGCAGTTTATTGTGGAAATATGTGGAGATACTCATACAATGAGTTGGATTTTGGTGACAAACTGACCTTCCTGTAGTCCTGCAATCAAGCAAAATTTCTGTTGGTACCAGAAATATATCAAAATCTAGTTAGTAGATTGTCACGATATTTATTGAGCATACTTACACAGACATAACTCATCTGAACTTATTGACTTTTCCTCACACACCATCATCAGGATAAAGCTTTGATTTTTATGCTTTAAAAACAGTGCTTCATGTGAGTGAGATGTAAAAAGCATTGTAGGCGTTAGACTTAACATTAAAAGTTTAGACTTTTGTTAATGTTATTCCTTTGGACAAACAAAGACGTGATTAAAATGTATTACTTTAATTATTCATATGTCTACTGTTTATAGTCTAAACAATGTACTAAAACTGGACTGTGAACTGTGAGTGTAGCGCAATAGAATATGCTGTCAGTAGATTACATACCCATACGCTTCTTTCCAGGGGACAGTGGTGTTGCTGGCCCTTTAGGACCAAAGGGTGAAATGGGACTCAAAGGACAACCTGGAGAGCCAGGAGTTGCTGGTCAAATGGGTGTGTTTCTTTATGATAATTTGTGTTAACAATTACCTTGTTGTTATTTTAATTTTTGTAAGATGCATGTGTGTTCATGCATACTGTGTATAGTACCCTGTATGACTCATATTCTGGCTCACAGTTAAATTATATTTTCTGAAACAGAACCATAATCTTCCAAGATTTCACATCATTTTGCAGGTTCAGTGAAATTCAGTCAGTTCCTGGATGGAAAAATGCATCAGCAGATAAAGTTTCTCTTCCTCCTTTAACTTCTGGTCATCATCAGTAATATTGCTGACAAACTGCTTGTTCATGTGATGAATGATGCAATTTGCACAGCTTGCATTTATGAAATATAAATACAGACCAAAAAAACATAAACATCTGTGTGTGTGCATGGGTGTATGTCAATGTCAATGCAGGTCCCAGGGGTCCACCTGGGCTCCCAGGAGCCCCAGGGAATCAAGGACCAGGAGCCAAGGGAGAGAAAGGAGAACCTGGGCCCCAAGGTAAGGGGTTCTATTGGTCGAAGAGCCCATAGCAACATCATGTAGTCTATGAAACCTGACCTGAATACATGGAAACAAAACAATAAAATAGTTGAAAATAAAATATTTTTTATTATTCACATGAATTAGTTTCCTTGAAGAGACATGCTGGGTCTCCTTCCATTAAGAGCTCTAACAATGAAATATCCTTTTAGTGTTTCAGGTCCTCACTATTTGAGAGGCCTGTCTACCCTGTAAAGAAGTACATTATAATTAGCTGTGACAGGCTTTAATGTTGACTGTTGTCCCCTATGCTTTGATTGAAGGCCCTCATGGAGACAGAGGTGACATGGGGAACCCTGGCCGACAAGGTACCCAAAAATGTTACATGCAGCCTCTGTAAATGTGTGTATGTTCTTTATCTGTGTAGTAGGTGTAAGTTGGTGTGTGAGATACTAAATGGATTTCTGTTGATTTGATGTGCACTTCCAGGATCTCCTGGTATTTCTGGGCTCAAAGGAGAAAAAGGAGACATTGGACCTAATGGTCCACCTGGACCTTCAGGTCAGCAGCATGCTGTGTAACATTTGTGTGGTTGGAATGATACATGTATCCCAATATAATGGACAATATTTCCTCTTTATTCAATATCATACAGTAAATCACCTAGTCATGTCATAAGAAATTACACAAATAAGCTTCTTGCTTTATCTGTACATCCAGCCATGAATTTATATTAGAGATGGCCAATAAAACAATAATGATAATTATCGCTAATATAATTTTCCTCAATAACAGTTTATATATGTCGATATATTGAACAAAAAATGTTCAATATATCGTCAAATATTTTTGGTTTAATTCATTTGAATCACAAACAAATTAGCACATATTTCTATTAAAATATTTTTTTTTTAGGAAAAGGGACTGAAAAAATGTACTAATCATATTTGTTGAAAAAGATTTCATCTGAATAGTTTTGAATATTCTCCCTCAGATTTGTGAAGTGATCCACTGTTTGGCAACAAGTGTTTGTCACATTCGTAAAGAAAAGTTTAACCTGAATGATATGAAATGTTTTTATTAATTATTTTAGTAATAACATTTTTGGGCATATCCCCCAGCACTAATTTATATAAACGTTCATTTAACTGATCAGTAATTCAATCATGCCTTTGAGTCATGAATCTTTTAACATATTTTCATTGATTAAATTGACATCACAATGATAGTTATAGCTTTATCAAATCTAAACGGAGATGAAAGAAACATGGCAGGCTGTGTTTTCTCTTAGCTGTAGAGTTTCACTCATTTTTCAAGGACAGTTATGTGCTCATTCACTGACTACCTTCTACAGCACAAGAAAACAAGCTAGCAAGGCTACAGAAAATTAATGTATGTGTTTTCATTTTCAAACTTCATCACCTCAGGCCAGTTATCAGACAGCTCCCTCTGGAGTAGTGGTGGTACTCCCCAACACATGTTACACAAATGTGTAATGTGTAAAATTACAGTTTGACTTGGTTTGTTTCTTCACAAAAACACACAAAGCGCAAAGTAGAGGAGAGGAGAGACTGAATTATCTGACCTACTTCTATAATTTACACTTAAATGCACACCTGCTTGTATTAATAATCCTGTCAGTACTATTTGGCAACTACAATTATAAAGCATTTAAGAGAACCAAGAAATTGTCCCAGGATTTTTTCACACAGAGGAAGGTGAAAACACAATCAGCTGGTTTAGGTTAATAAGGTCAGTTTTACTGTGTATTAATGTGTAAAGCTGGTGTAGTTCAATTCAATTCAATTTTATTTATATAGCGCCAAATCACAACAACAGTTATCTCACAGCACTTTTCATAAAAGAGCAGGTCTAGACCGTACTCTATGATGTTATTAAGCCCAACAATTCCCACCAAGAGCAAGCACTAGGCGACAGAGGCAAGGAAAAACGTCCTTTTAAGAGGCAGAAACCTCGAGCAGAACCATGGCTCATGGTGGGCGGCCATCTGCCTCGACCGGTTGGGGGTGAAGGAGAGAGAGTGAGGGGGAGAGAGAGAGAGAGGGCAAGAGAGGAACAGAGAGAAAGAGAGAGAGGGGAAGGAGGCAGCCTACACAATATACACACAGGTATATTGTACAGACAGTAAAAGTGATGTTGCTATAGACTAAATGAAAAATGGTACAGATATATACAGTAATGTTTATGATAATAATCGTAATGTTAATGATAACAATAATAACAATAGGAGTAGTAATAATTGTAGCAGAGTAGAGGAGAGAGGAGCTCAGTGCATCATGGGAAGTCCCCTGGCAGTCTAGGCCTATAGCAGCATAGGCCTAGACCTAAGGGATAGTTCAGGACTCACCTGAGCCAGCCCTAACTATAAGCTTTATCAAAGAGGAAAGTCTTAAGCCTAGTCTTAAATGTGGAGATGGTGTCTGCCTCCTGAACCCAAACTGGAACCTGGTTCCACAGGAGAGGAGCTTGATAGCTGAACGCTCTGGCTCCCAGTCGACTTTTGGATACTCTAGGAACCACAGTAGCCCTGCATTCTGGGAGCGCAGTGCACTGGTGGAGTAGTAAGGTACTATGAGCTCTTTAAGATAAGATGGTGCCCGACCATTAAGAGCTTTGTAGGTGAGACGAAGGATTTTAAATTCTATTCTGGATTTTACTGGAAGCCAATGCAGAGAAGCTAAAACAGGAGAAATGTGATCTCTTTTCCTGGTTCCTGTCAGAACAAGTGCTGCAGCATTCTGGATCAGCTGAAGAGTCTTAATGGACTTTTTTGAGCAGCCTGATAATAAGGAATTGCAGTAGTCCAGCCTAGAAGTAACAAATGCATGGACTAGTTTGTCTGCATCATTTTTAGACAGGATGTTCCTGATATTCGCAATATTGCGCAGGTGAAAAAAGGCGGTCCTTGAAATTTGCTTAATGTGAGACTTAAACGACCTGATCAAAGATAACTCCAAGATCCCTCACAGTGGTGCTGGAGGCCAGAGCGATGCCATCAAGGGAAAGTTTATCTTTAGATAATGCGTCACGGTGGTGCTTAGCCCCCAGAAAAATAACTTCAGTTTTAACATTAGAAAATTACAGGTCATCCAGGTTTTAACATCCTGAAGGCATGGAATATTTCCTGATAATATTGCCTAAAGGAAGCATATACATAAAGTGAACAGGATTGGTCAGAGGACAGATCCTTGTGGAACTCCATGACTAACTTTGACGTGCATGGAGGACTCATTGTTAACATGTACAAACTGAAATCGATCTGATAAATACGACTTACACCAGCTTAGAACGGTTCCTTTAATGAAATTAAATGAAATGTTCCAGTCTCTGTAATAGGATCTGATGGTCACTGGTATCAAATGCAGCACTAAGATCTAGTAAAACCAGTACAGAGACAAGTCCTTTGTCTGATGCAATTAGGAGGTCATTAGTAATTTTCACAAGTGCTGTCTCTGTGCTATGATGAAATCCTGACTGAAAATCCTCAAAATAAACTATTGCTATGTAGAGGTTATGAGGTTTTTATGCACAGCTCCTCTTCTTTTTACCTTTGATTTAAATTATTTCAATGGTCGGGGGACAGACACCGTCACTATAGGATTTTCACTAAGTAACTCCTGAAATGGAGGAGCAGAGAAGTGTGTTAGACTGCGACTCAGCGTAGGGTTTTGGGTGGGTAACTGCTGAGATAGAAGGGCAGAGAAGTGTGTTAGACTGCGACTCTGCCTCCTGGTCTCATCTCTGGGTTGTCATGGATTTGGTCCACTAATAATCTTGGCCAGATTTCTAGAAATGAGAGCTGCTCCTGTTTGCTGGACACCACCTCGACAACCAGCGGCAGAATGACGACATGCGGCTATACATGTCATAACTGGTCAGATTTGGCAGGGGTCCTGAGAAAACTATGGTGTCTGACATTGTTTTTGTATATGTACACACCAACTCAACATTAATCTTAGTGACTTCCGATTGGCGTAACCGAGAGTCATTACCGCCGACGTGAATAACAATCCTACTGTATTTACGTTTATCCTTAGCCAGCAGTTTCAAATGTAGTTAGTTGTGTAACACTTGTGTGCTCAATTCTGATTGTCGTGGAGAGCAATGAAGTAGTTTTTTTCCCGTATCTGTATATTACTTGAGGATTTTTAGTTGCTGCAACTTTTTACTTTCACTTTACATTACATTTCAAAGCCAAATATTGACTTTTTACTCACGTTACATTCTGCACGAGACCTCGTTACATTGGTACTAGTAGCCTATGCAGCACACCTGAGTGGAGCAGCAGTGAAAAACAAATGTAAAATGAGAGTGAAGTGCGGGACAGCAGTCAGGTAAACATGTGAGAAGCGCAGCTCTTGTCTGTCGGTTCTTGGTTGCTTGCCAGACTGTGACTGAACAATGCTGAGTGAAATACAACTATATATCACGTTTGATAAACGCAGACGGGCTACAGTATTTATAAACTGTAGCTTGGAAAGATGGCCGCATTGCGCGTGGAAATGCATTCATATGCGCATCCAAGAAATTAAACTCACGCATTTGAGCAAGAAACACCTGTGGGACCAGAGAGAGAAGTATATTTGGTGGAGCAGCAACTGTTCCATTAGGGTCCAAGTTGCTTGTATCTGATGCTGGCTGTACATCTCTGGCAGTGCTTGTTCTGGCTAAGGCTGCCTGTATTTCATCTGGGTCTGTGGACCTGCTAAAAAATTCTGGACTGGGTCTGTGCTGATAATGACTGAGGCTGGATGTGGATCAGCTGTGCTTACTTGACTGGCTGGAGTCTGTTCCTGTACTGGCTGTTGACGCAGCAACTACTGTGACAGACATAGCCCCTGTAAATTATAGATATTTTCTTTATATTAATGTTATCAGCTGCATCATTCAAACTGGCTCCTCCAGGTTTCCTTCAATATAATTTCAAAATAATATACTGTTTATAAAATGACTGGGCTGAATATTTAATGCTCATTATTTACTGAGATGTATGATCCATATTGCCCAGTCTGTCAAGCTAATCAACATTTTAATAGTCAATGTGAATCCACTGCTTCCAGAGTTGTAACTAAACTTCACTGTCTTGTTTTAAGATTGTAAATGATGTATATGGAGCACCCTCACGTCCTGTATGGACTGGTCAGAGAGAAGTATACATGACATTCCATGTCTATGAAGATTCTCAGTCATCCAGGTCATAGTTACCCTTTGGATAAGGGACGAAACGTCTTCCAGTAGCTTCAACCAACTCCAGTTGCCCTTCATTTTAACCTTCGTTGGATGACATTCCATCAAACTCATTTTTGACAGCTATTTCCGGTCCCGCCCCTCCCAGCAAAGATTTTACAAAGTTTAAACCATTAAAAATTATGATAAATGTAGATTTAATCCACACATGTTTATTTATTGAGCAGACAATATTTAACCTACATCAGTAGAGTCCAGCAAATGTCTTTCATGAGATCTAATTTTTTTGTCTTCTCATCAGGTGCAAGAGGACCTATTGGTTTCAATGGAACTCAAGGCAAGTGTGTTTTAAAGTGAACCTGAATTTAGAATCACATTTCTTCCATATGTGATATGCTGTGCAAAGCCAGTAACAACTAAAAATGTACTTTTGTCATGGAAATCAAGATGCCAGGGGCCAGATATAGAAAAAATGCTATGCTTAATAAACATGCAATTTCCTACATACAATTTCCTACACATAAACTGGTATTTATAAAATAAGAATGTGCAGTGCACATCTTACACATCCTTTCACTCCAGGTGTACTCAGTTTTTTAAATATAGCTGCAGGTGATACAATCAGGAGATTAAATAAGTTAAAGATATGTAACTTATAGGAATAGTTTTTTAACTCTAACCAATTTCATTAATTGTGGGTTTATTTTTGCATTTTTAGGTGAAGAATTTCATCATTCTGTTGCAAAGCTCACCTGTGCGACACAGCTGGTGTAATTCTTCTGTGCTATTCTTCTATACAAACAAATGGGATTTCTACATCCATTAGTTTCATAGTGATTGAGATTCATAAAACAGACCTATGTGTGGCTTTATAAATCTGGCCAAAAATGTCTGCCTTTGTGTGTACCCAGAGTTTTATGCATCTGGCATTGTGTCTGTATTTCACTCTGTCTGCACTTGGGGCAGTCAGAAAGAGGGATAAGTTAATTCAACAATACCAAAAAGCTGTTTAAAGTTAGCTAAAATTGTCACATTTGTAGGTAACAAACACAGAATCTATAGTATTAATCATAAAACTGTAAGGATCTGAATTATAACATCTGTAAGGATTTCCAATTCAATTGTCTGTTGCTAAGCTACAAAAAATATTGGTAAAAAATTACTTATTACAGAGTGATACAATCAGTATGACATACATAATTTATGGTTTACATTCATATTAGTTCATGTAAACTGTGAGTTTGGCTCCTCCACAGGTATTCCTGGACCACCAGGTGCCAAAGGAGACAAGGGAGACCAAGGAAACCCACCAGAGAGTACGTTTGCATGGGACTGACCTGAAACTATTACTAACTAAAGATACTTCTAAAATGGCACATTTATTAATGGCATAAGATTTGTTATTTGTTGCATCGTTTGGCTTTTGGACATTTTTAAATGTCTAGGACTTGGTTTCTTATGCTTTTATAGTCAGAGTACATGGAGGTACGCAATGCATGCTCACAGACAAGCTGTGCTGCCAACTGTGATACTATGGTGAAGTGTTTAAGTGAACACTGACTGGGAACACTCTGGCAGTGCTCCAGTGACGGGCTGCGAAAAATAATTAGAAGGGGAGTAGGCTAGTGAAGGCATCCAAAATCTAGATAGAAGATAAAACATGGAAGAGACATGGAATAGAACTAAGAACATCAATGTTTTTCATATTCTCTAATGTGTGAGATGCACATATGAAATGGATTCTTGTATAAAAATAGTTTACTGCAAAAGGGGTTAAATTGACAGATATTGTGAATACCATGTGACGAGACACTTAGCTCACGAGATGGGGGGAATTTTTAACACCATTATTATATATATATTAAATCTTTGTTGCTGAATTATATGAAAGTTTTGAGCAGTAAATTCAATTTATTTAGTTATAAACTCCTGGACTTTAATAGCTCCTCTGATTCAGAAGATTTTCTTCTCATGTTCAAAACTTTCTGCACATGCAGAATCTCTCCCACATATCTGTGTTCTCTGACATGTCGAGAAAAAAGTTGTAATATTACGAGACCAACATCATCATTCAATGAGAATTCATAATGTTTTTTTAAGTCTACCTCCCTATACTCTGCTGTTCATTACATTATTGCTCCGGTGTAGTATTCCAGTAGTATTCAGACTGTTTGAACGACACAGTTTGGGACTGCATGTTAGGATGAATGACAAAGTGGAAACTGAAACTAAGTGAAACACTACTGATCAGGCAGAAATCTCACCACAAATCCACACATATGTTAACTTCAGTAAAGTGCAGAGCAAGGTTGTTCCTCAGTTTTAGTTGTTTATATTGCAAAACTCTACCAGTTACGTTACCACTCTGTCACAGAGTCCACTTGATTACTATCACGGCATATGCCAGTGTTGCATCAGCTGTTCTTTCTCAGGTAAAGGTAGAGAAGTGAACATACACTTGTATTTATTTTGAAGATATTACAAGTCATTATCTCCTAATCAGATAACCTGCCACATGTACACCAGGACAATATTCCCAGTGTGTACTGATCAAGTGTGACTACAAAATATTGCATTAATTTTATAGTTTGTTAGTGATGATGAGTAAAGTTTGTTTAAAATATAAATTATTTTCTTGTTGTCCCCGATAGTAAATTATGATTTTGCTAACAAATCAAATTAGGAGATAATGCTGTGATATTACATTATCTATCCCTGTTAAATACGGTTGTGTTCATTTCTTTGTGTTTACCTGAGGATGAACATCTGTGGTTGAAACGTGTTTTTGCGTGTGCATTATTTGGTCTGTCTTCATAAAGCTACACTAATGAACATGACTAGTTAGATACAGACTGCTCATACACTGTTATCTTGAATATGTACATTAAGGTAGACAACAAGAGGAGTTTTTTAGCATGATATACTGCACATGTGTCAAACTCAAGGCATGTGGGCCGAATCAGGCCCGCCAAGTTATTTTGTGTGGCCTGCAAAAGCTTTAAAGATTCATGATTGTCCTAAAACAAAAGTCTATGCTGCCATAAACTGTGAAGTGATGGCATCCCACCACTAGATTGCGATGTTTCCACACCCACTACGGTAGTTTTCCGACAAGTGGAGATGAGAAATGTATACAAACAATCCCTAAATGTCCAAGACGAGAAAAACTGATGCAGAAGGAAAGCAATTTCATGAATGGTGGGAAAGTGAATACATGTTTGTGCTTCAAGGAGAAAACCCGGTAGCCTAGGCTTATATCTTTTGTGTTATGAGGCAGTATCACTGATGAAGGATCAACGTTAGTTAAGGCTCGTGCTTTCAGTATCGGACAATGGCCGTGCCGTTCACACTACACGACTTGCCGTCTTGTGTCGTTGTGACGTTCACACTACGTGACTGATCGGTGACAGGGGGTCTCAGAGTACACCAGCTGACAATGACTCTGTCACCTGACGCTGGTCTCCAAACCACGTTTTGTCAAGAAAACACACGTGAAATGTGAATCTGGCTGGCATCGTTGATGTGTCAGATATGTATCGGGGAGCTGTGTGATGCTGAGTAGTTCACACATAACGACTGGCATGGTGGTCACCGAGCTCGCAGTGCGGCAAATCATGTAGTGTGACCTAGGCTTAGGCTCCAGTAGCCTATACGTCTGCATTTTTCGAGGTAATCAAACTATCTGTCATTAGTTGGATATATGCCCTCTGCAAGGCTGCAGCTGGACTATTTGTTTTATCAAATGCCACATCTGTCCCTTGTGTTATTAGCAGCTCACAATTATTTGTTTTACCATTGTTCTGCACCTCTGGACTGTGAAAAAGTGAAAAGTTACTGTAAAAGCTTATGTTTGATGATATTTGTCTTTGTTATTTACTTGAAATGTTTGATCTTTGATTGATGGAGTAATGAGGGTTTTTAAATCTGATAAATTTATTGATTTATGTTATAATAACACAGAGACATTTTCTTACTATGGCGATATTTTTACATCTGATAAATTTCATTGAATACATAATCAAATAAAGAGGTAGTTATTTAACAATATGTTAAATAGTAGTTAGTAGTAGTTACGTTTATACAGTCTTGCAACTCGGGGGCAACAGTTGCAACTGGCCCTTTCAGGGTAACCGTAATGCTTATGTGGCCCTTGGTGAAAATGAGTTTGACACCCCTGATATACTGTGTGTAGCTATTTATTATTAAACACAACAACAATTAACACAACAGACTTTGCTTTCTGTCAGCTCAGTGTCAGCATGGTGTAGCCTACTGACTTCACAATCGAAACCCGCTGCACTATCATGGTTTCAACCCAGGGCATCTGATACGACGCTTTGAGAAAGCCTGACAGAAAGTGTCTGTATTGGACGCCCTGGGATGAGACCGGGCTGGCTGCATGGTGCAATATTAGCAACTAGCGCTATTCGAAAGCCATGCTGTAGCTTCAGCCATTTTTCTGCTCCAACAGAGTCATGTGGATGCGTGACTGCGGTAAATAATGAATAAAGTAGCAAAGTAACACGATGAAAGTATCCAAATGTATCGGAATAAAAGTAATGATTTTTCTCTTAAAAACTACTCAAGTAAGACTATAAGCATGACGCATCAAAACTACAACCCTAATATCTAGCACAGCATGTGTGATCCTGCAAATGAGAGGGTGCTCTCAGTGAAGCTCCATGAATAAATAATGGTTAAATAAAAATAAAAAATAGCCCTGAGGATGGTTTGAGACCCTAGAAACTTTAAGCAGCTGCAATTTTTTGTCACCACAGTGAATGTGCGTCTTGTGCCGGGGAAATCCCGAGGACGAGTGGAGGTGAAGTACAACGGGGTGTGGGGCACCTTGTGTGATGACAGCTTTGACACTGTGGATGGCAAGGTGATCTGTAAGATGCTGGGCTTCCAATCCGCCATTTCCACCTTCACTGCCACCCCGGGTAAGAAGTCCATTGCCACCATCACGAGATGTTCCCAATCTCTTGTGAATCTGACCCTCACACTATTTGGTGTTTTTCTGAACTTTCTCTTTACATGGTACTGAATAAAATTATGAAACAAAATTTTGAGTGTTTGATGGCAGTTAAGGCGAGACACGAAAAACATCGTTTTATCATGCACTGGTCAATTTTGAGATTTTGGGCTACTTCCTTAACATGGCATCTTTCAGACTAGTGGGGGAAAAAGTCTGTAATACACATTTAGTAGTTTACTGTATATTAATTGCATGTGGCCAATAAAGTTGATTATCATTATGACTATATTTTTACAAAATAAAATAATTCTTCTTATTATTACTAGTATTAATAATTAATAATAGAATTTAACTAGAGAGAGAAAAACCCAAACCACCAAAAATACCATCAGCAATTGGGTTGAAGGATTTGGCGTTCTCTATCGACATTAAGAAACCAGCATGTATATCTACAAGCATTTATTAGATAAACAAAAACACACGATGAAACCTGACGAATGGCCCATTTATACTCCTGCGTAGGGTCTACGTGCGTAGCTACGCTGTAGGCTATGCACGTAGCCATGCATTTATACTTGTGCGTTGGTGTGTCATTTTGCAATTAAACCCCCAAACACGAGTCGGCAGTTGCGCTAACGCGTCCACTGTGTTGACTTTTGCCAGCCAAGCAGGCTAACTTCCGGTTTAGCGCTCAGCTAACGTGAATGGGGGTAAAATTGTATACGTGCGGCTGGTAAAGCCTTTTCAAATGTTATCGACCGAGTGGATCACATTCTGGTTGTGACGGGCAAATATATTGATCCACCATGTTACAGCTGCTGTTTTGGCCGCTAGTAAAAGTTACTTCAAAGCCCCGGGGCACTTCCTGTCGGCTCAGAGGCACTGCGAGGCTACACAGCTGACCAATCACAGTGCTTACGGTCCGAGTCGTATGGACGTGTAGTTTTTTTGAGGAGGTGCACGTCAGGCTATGGTGTAGGTGATGACGTAGGGGTAGGGGGCTATGCAGAGGTTATGCTGTCGATTTGACGCAGAAGTATAAGATGCTCTGAACTAAAGAACAAAAGAATGTGTGCTTGTGAGAAGGTGTGTGTGTGTGTGTGTGCACTTACCAACCTATCTAACAGTGGACCTCAACGTCATTACACACGCACTAAGAGGGGACTAAAAAGTGAACAGTGTCCCCTGTTGGACATGCTTTAAATCATGCTAAAATCATGTCTAAAACCCTCTGGTAAATTTTTTTAACTATTGACCTGCAGGTGTGTGAGTGTTTAAATCCATACTCAGCAGTGCCTCTAGTGGATCAAGCAGAAATTTTAACGACTCATTCACACACGTCATTCTTAACACTCCCCTATAGAGTGAATGGCTTGTAGCCCCAGGGAGTCTATCAGACTGTAGAGGGGCTATTATACAAGCTACTCAGTAAAGAAAGCTGTCTCTTGAAACACGATTTCTTAATTTTTTCTAACAAAATATACAGGCTGAGTTTTAGTGGATGTCTTGTGTTTTAAGATCAACATGTATTAAAATAAAGGACTACACTGAAGGCCTAGAGAGTAAAACGAATTTTAGATTCTAAAAAAGGGGGAAAAAAATAGAAAAACAACCAGGGTAGAATTATAAATAAAATGGTCAGTATAAAGATACTTTTATGGTTTTAATTAATTAATAAAAAATGATTTGACATTTGACATCTAGAGATTTAAACTTGTTCAGTCACAAAATACTAACCTGACCAGATTTCACAAGCACTGGACATCAATACTTTATTTTTCCCATTGTATCTGTGTGCTTAGTCTACACTTAAAGATATGCATTTCATTAATTGATTTGAATTACAGAAAAAGGGACCGCACTTGTACTGTGTGGAACGACAGGAGTCCACTGTTCGCTTGTACATGATGACACAAGTTCCCTCTTAGATAGCATGGAGCGATAATCAAATTCCAACTAGTGTGAAAATAATAAATAAGCAAATTTAATCATGCTTATGAGAAGAAACTAACTTAACTACAGAGTGTCTTTATTTGGTATAATCTGTTATTGTAAGAAAATATAAAGCCTGAGTTTTTATTGAAGTTATTTTCAACAAAATACAAAGGCTGAGTTTTAGTGAAATTCCTAAATTGTTTCAAGCTTCAGACTACTAAAATGATAGACTACCCAGTAGACAGCAGAATGAGTATTTTAAAAGCACAAAAAAAGTGAAAGTAAAAACAAAATGAATACAAAAGTCATCTGCAAGATCTCTTCATTTTTAATCAATGGATTTAATGCTGTTAATTAACATGATACATGACCAGTGTTTGTATGTGTCCTAAATCTATATTTAGGAAGTTGTTGCTCGCAAACACATTGACAACAGACCTGTCTGTCAATTGAATAGTTAGTTTCCTAAACACCGCTGCACAAATCTATCCAACACAACGTTGTCAATGTCGGAGACCCATCTTCAAAAAAGTTATCAGCAAGCATTTAAGGAGCCTAGCTAATAAGGATAGCTATGTTAATTTTAGAATACAGCTGTCGAAGTTAGCGCGCTGTGCATAACTGGTAGTCAGTAGGTGTGTCCGAGATGACTGTGGCTGACTTTCACCGACTTGATAGTCTAAGTGAGCTGCAGGCGACTGCAGGGGCGGGGTATAAAAACAGTGTTGTCAAGTCAGACGCAATCTACCTCTGGTAGACTGTGTGAGCTTACTGTAAGCTTAGACCTATGATCAGGCAAAAGGTGGTTCCAACTTTGTGCAGCTAGAGAAAAGCTACTGATGAGACATCATGGTGACGTTTTGCAGCTCACATTAGACTATCAAGTTGACGGCAACATCCTGCCTATTTGACTAAAAATTATTTAGGTTAGTAATTATAGCATAAAACTGTAATTGAAACCTTCAAGAGCCTGAAGTTTAATCCTGAAGGTGAGACAACATGAAATCCAGAGGCAAACTCCTTCCCTTGGTGATCAAGTATTACAAAGCTAGTTAGCTACTTTTGTACAGTTGAAATCACATCATGTCGAAACTAAAGTGTGAAATGTTGAAAAGGTTAGTTTAGCTACAAATGAGCAAGTTCATATGTGCGTGTTTAGGTTTTATGATGTGGTATTTAAGTTTAACTTTGGATGGCTATTCATAACACAAGTTGTTCAACCACAAATAGAAAACAGCACAAAATATACAGAACTATGGTAAAGCAAACTTTATTGAATGTGCTTTTAAGCTAAGACACACACAAACTCCTAAACTGAAAGTTCCTCATGTGCCCCCCCTCTTCTGTGTTCTTACACTGAAAAAAATTATAAACGCAACACTTTTGTTTTTGCCCCCATTCATCGTGAGCTGAACTCAAAGATCTAAGACTTTCTCTATGTACACAAAAGGCCTATTTTTCTCAAATATTGTTCACAAAACTTTAAATATCTGTGTTAGTGAGCACTTCTCCTTTGTCGAGATAATCCATCCACCTCCCAGGTGTGGCATATCAAGATGCTGATCAGACAGCATGGGTATTGCACAGGTGTACCTTAGGCTGGCCACAATAAAAGGCCACTCAAAAATGTTTCCCTGTATTGGGGGTGTCCGGGGGGGGTCTGGAAACCAGTCAGTATCTGGTGTGACCAGCATTTGCGTCACGCATTGCAACACATCTCCTTTGTATAGGGTTAGGGTTGATCAGGTTGTTGATTGTGGCCTGTGGAATGTTGGTCCACTCTTCAATGGCTGTGCAAAGTTGCTGGACATTAGCAAGACCTGGAACACGCTGTTGTATACGCCAATCTAGAGCATCCTAAACATGCTCAATGGGTGACATGTCCAGTGAGTATGCTGGCCATGCAAGAAATGGGATGCTTTCAGCTTCCAGGAATTCTGATCCTTGCAACATAGGGCCGTGCATTATCATGCTGCAACATGAGGTGATGATCGTGGATGAAAGGCACAACAATGGGCCTCTGGATCTCGTCACGGTATCTCTATGCATTCAGAATGCCATCAATAAAATGCACCTGTGTTCGTTGTCCATAAAACACGCCTGCCCATACCATAACCCCACCGCCACCATGGGCCACTCGATCCACAACTAGGACATCAGCAAACTGCTCTCCCACACAACGCCATACACACTGCCATCTGCTCTGCACAGTGAAAACTGGGATTCATCCATGAAGAGAACACCTCTCCAAAGTGCCACACGCCATCGTATGTGAGCATTTGCCCACTCAAGTCAGTTACGATGGCAAACTGCAGTCAGGTCGAGACCCCGAAGAGGATGAAGAGCATGCAGATGAGATTCCCTGAGATGGTTCCTGACAGTTTGTGCAGAAATTATTTGAGGATGCAAACCGATTCTTGCAGCAGCTGCCCGGGTGGCTGGTCTCAGACGATCTTGGTGGTGAAGATGCTGGATGTGGAGGTCCTGGGCTGTTGAGGGAATAGAGAATCGGTTTGTTATCAAACCCAGACATTTGTATTACAGTACTTTAATGCCACTGTTCTATAATCGTTGAGGACTTCTTTAGTACCATAACAAGGTATCTGAGTACTCTCAGAACCGGGCTATTCTTTGGAGTCAGTGATGTGTCTTCAAATATATTCCTGCAAGAATTCTCCTGGCTCAGTGTTTTTGGTGGTGATTTTTCCAAAACCTGATAAATACTGAATAAATTAATTATCTGTCAGTCTGTCTGTCATCAAATTCCATGAAAGACCAACACTTCATCAGCAGTTCTAACACTCGATGAGGATCTTATGCATTGTCACCCAAAGGGTTTGAATTTGTATCTACATTTATATAATACACATCAAAAATTTGTACACTATGTATGATGGCAGTGGGTATTTCTCATTTTAATTGTTGCCTGCTTAGCTTGACTGACTTGCTGAGAGTTGTATGACAAGATCAATATTGTTCTCATATCTGAACACAAAATCAAGCTATGCCTTTAAACCATTTTCAGGTTGC